AAAAAAAAAAAAAAAAAAAAAAAAAAAGGAGAAATAACGAGCGCAGTTCTCTTCTCTTCCTTTTCTGCGAGACTCATTTAGAACATTAGCCTTAGAAATAGAGCTGCAGATGGAAACGGTGTTCTTCTTTTATTTCTTTTTTTTTCCTTCATTTTTTTTTCTTTTCGATTTTCGGAAATAACTTTCGACTTTTCTGAACAGAATGTTCGGCTAGCATTACCAACAGCAATCTTGACTCGTTTTTCGACTACGGACCTTTTGGAACACTGTCCGGTCTTCCCTCCAATACAAAATATCAAGGTAACTTCTTCAAGAACTACTATTTAAATAGTAATGTAGAAGCGAAATTGAAGTGCCAGGGAAAAAAAAAACAAAGAACCAATGTACCTGTGCCAACTAAACATAGCCTAAATGATCGATTATATGAATAAGTGCGACCAGTTACAGTCAGTACAGCTGTGAACAAATTTTTCAGTAGCATTTGTTTTTTAACACTTTAATTCTGCACTGTTAGGATAGATGTTTTATAGAGTAAAAGCCCGTTGAATGTCTGCTACTTAACTGCATCTGAAAACTTCTACGGATGGGCAACATTGTCGCATCGTTGCTGAATTCTGACCATGATGGAATACCAGGTTCCGAACAAACATGTGGTTTATCGTCATGCAGCAGCGACTCTACAGAGTCACATGAAGAACAAACCAATCTGCCAGAAAGCAGTAAGTTTTATTGCTAATTTACAGTTATTTCTACACTGTACTTACATAACGTACATATTTTGCATGCGAATGACTATTCGTTTAGTTGATCGAATAGATAAGTAACTAACGATCACATCTTGTAAAATTATCTTTTTCCGCCTTAGATATGGATATTACTGCAACTGTTAATTCACTTGATTTCGTATCAATACTGTAATGAAAAATTGCTAATTCATAAAAACAACGGGCAGGAAATAGTAGACTTCAAGCAGTAAACACCACCGATGACAACTCTTTGGCAACAACTAATGTAAAACAAGAGCTCTCTAATGCGGAGAAGGCTTTAGAAGTAATGCAAACTATGTACAGACTACGTACTCCTCTGCTTCACGAGAAATTAGACCAACTGAAGATTGATAACCGGTTAGATTTTAATGCTTTCTTCCGCTTTTGTATTTACCGAGTAAAGCACTTGATCGGATCTCTACATAGTATGAGACTTTCTGGCTAATTAGGAACTCGGAAGTTACAGTTGATTCAAGAACATTCATCAGTCAAATTAAGGCAATGATTTCAGAGTTTACTGCTTTTTGATAACTATTTAGTGGTGGACGTCTTCTTATTTATGAACGTTTAAAAAGGTATATATGTAAACATGAGCCGCGACTGCTGAATAGACCAAATACAGAAGGTAAAACAGAACGGTTTTACGACTATCTAATTGTAAGTGTTCCGTTACTTCTCAATCATCAGTTATCTCAATTTTGATAAGAACATTTTGCTTCTCCAACCAATAATTTACTTTTGTTAGGTAATCGATTTTGAATGTACCTGCGATGAATCTGCACCTGAATATCAACATGAAATCATTGAATTTCCCGCTGTTTTAATTGACGTCCGAAAGCAAGAAGTGGTACATGGAAAAATGAATTACTGTTAACCACTAGCTGTTTCTTCGACCTCCTTTGGCCATTCATGTACAGCAGAGGCAAATTTTTAGCAAACCATTTTTCAGGTTGGTACCTTCAGGTCGTACGTACAGCCGGTACGGTATCCTCAGTTAAATGAGTTTTGTGTAAAACTGACAGGCATTACTCAAGAAACTGTCGACAAGTCACCAACTTTCGTACGTGTGTTAACTAAATTTTATAATTGGTTAAAGGAAAAAAATCTCGACAAATCAACAAGATATGCGTTTGTTACTGACGGGTGAGGCCTTATATTAAATTTTTGTAACGGAGTCAAACATCGGCAATTATTTGGGATACACTTCTGATGGACTGTATTTCAGCCCGTGGGATATTGCTAAATTTCTCCAGATGCAGTGCTTGCAGGTAAGTTTTTTGCTTTTGATTCATTGACGTGACATTCTAACTGGGATGACATATAAACCTCCAGAATTTGATTTTTCTAGTAAAAAAGCAATTTATTAAAAACTCCTAAAGCAGCTTTGAATATTAGAACTGTTTTTCCTATAGAAATATTGCAATCAAGTCCATACCTCCTATTTCAGTCAGAAATTGGGGTCCCGCATATTTTCCGCCATTATATCAATATCAGGAAGTGCTTCTTGAACAACTATTACATGAGTAACTCTACTTGTCCTCACGCTTTCTTTTAGTAAGTCCAGCCTAATTGAGCCATCGTGAGTTATTTCAGGAGGTGACCTGGCGCCGAAGATAACTTTGGCAAAGATGCTAAGTGAATGTAATATGGAATTTGTTGGAAGACCACATTGTGGGCTCGATGATTCTATAAATATTGCAAGAGTGGTCATAAAAATGCTGAAAGACAACATAGAAATTAGAGTATGTTCATAAAATTGTCCAATATTTTTGTCACAATTTACTTGGGTAATGCTCGTGTGTAATTGTTTATTCAGTAAAGTTCCAGGTCAACGAAAGGCTTGTGAAAGGGAAGAATGTGAAGGTAAAAGACTATGCTAGACAGCTTTCACTAAAAACAAGTCGTTTTGCTGGCTCGCAGGTTCCGACTGGAAAAGAGAATGTTGAGTCTAAAAACCGAGATTTTCCAACATGGCGGGAAGTATTACCTTACAAAAATATTTTCGTAAGTCGGGACGCCTTTATAAGTGGTGATTATTTGCAGTGACACAAATCAGCTGTAAAAATGCGGTGAATTACGTATACCGTTTTAAACTATGATTGTTCTTTTAAATGCATTCCTCACTTGCTCATGTAACTTGTCGGAAAATGCACACTCGATTTGCAATATTGTACTTTCTCGAAGAATACACTTTACAAAAAGCCTCATTACACTTTAGATTATTTCAAGTCATGTGATCTTCCGATCAGTTATTCTAATACAAAAGGCAAAACTAATGGTTTGATAGAAGCGGCGTGGACTCCACATAAAATTACCTCCGACGCAGATTTTTATTCACTTTCACATTTCTGGTCTTTACTTTTTTTGAAACCCAAGGAAGTATACAGAAGTTTGAGAATCTAACAAGCTGTTTTACGCTGGTTCGATAACGAACGTAAAGGGCCTTACCGGTGTACAGAATTATCTGATAGGTTCACAACATTCTACATGCTTGAAAACATAAAGCTCCCATGAGGATCCAAACCGGTAAGAAAATTACTCCATAAGAGGAATGAGCTGTCACTTCACCAAGTTCCAAATCCCCGTTTATTTTGTACGCCAACAACACTTCGAAACAAGCAATTGATGCTATTCGTATATAGCTTAGCCAGAATCTAAAGGTTATAAACAATGAGGACCAAATTTTTCAGAAAGTTGAGTAGGATTCCTTGAACACTGCAGAACTAGTTGATTTCCTTCGGAAAATTGAATAAGCTTTTCCTCGACTTTCTTTGAGCAATCAATCTATCAAAGAAAAACCAGCTAATGAACGAGTAACTACAAAAAGCAATTCTAATGTGACTTCAGCTGGAGTTAATTTGAAAAATCCGGTAGATGTATATTATATTGAGCAGAACTAATAGACCTTACGAGGGGCGCCTTATAATCACTTTCTTCGACGACTGTCCTCACCGATACTATGAACAGAAAGTAGGCGTTTAAAGCAGTGGCTCCAAAAAGCGGAATAAATACATGCCAGTAGGAAATATTAGGGTAGAATTCCAACTTCAGAGTCTGAAACGAAGCCAGGTGTACTTGCAACCACTACAGTGCGGATGACCTCAGAAAAACCGTGTTTTACATCCATAGCATTAGAATCTTTTTCAGCTCGAAAAAATATGCCTATCGTTTGTCCTCTACCTACTTCAGAAGCAGTACCATAAAAATTTATTTAAAAAATTTAAAGTGCCATTGAAGAAACTACAATTTTCTGAACAGTAATCATTTACCAGAAGTATAGTTGCCAGAAGAATTCCAATACACTGTTGCCAAATTTCAAAAATAGATATGTTTAACCACCGGATGATTTCTGGCATCGACAACATGATCGCAACATACCTCAAACACTACCGTAGATAAAAAAAGTAACCAGAAACGTTAGTGCCGCCTACACATTAATCTAAATCACGATTATTTAAGACGACTTCTAACGGCACATCACTATTTTTCCAACAAATAAGAGAGCAACGTGTGAAATGAGCTGTAAACATCAAGTTTAAGAAACTCCTTCGAAAAATCAGAAGGTGGAGTTTGAATCAATTTCATCTGATTTAGCAAACTCCTGCACACTAGAACTAATTTAATATTCCAGAAAAACACTAAACAGATTTCTGTCGTCAATCAAAATAAGACATCCGAGCTTGACGACATTTCACTTACTACTTTACACTGAAGAAAATTAGCCGGCAAATTGTATTTGCTCGGCTACAACTATGCCACAAACTCTTTTCTTTTTTTTTTCTTCCACTCAAAACTGCTGCAACGAGTAAAGGTGCATTGACGACAAAAACATTAACGTTCAATATCAAGACAAGCAATTATTAACTGTCTCAGTATTACTAGTGGAAAAAATTGACGAAACCATACGCAAGCATAATCATTTCCAAGAAGCAGAGGTCTGCCAAAGGGTCTGTTCCTTTTTCCTAATTACTGCTAGGAGACGAATTTTTTTCCTGGCAATTTTCCACTACGGTGAGGCAATTTACCGAAAAATCGCTCTGTTTGTTGTTCCATGTTTGAAACCTTCGGATCGGTCGTATTCCCCAATATATATATATATATAATATATTTTTGATGCTGTCCGGATCAGCTTACGTCTACTGTTTCGTTCGGCTCATTCCAAATATTAGTTGTATGGATCAACTTGTACAGGCTTATTTGTTATACCGGATTTCCTGGTATCAAGATTTATGAAACCTGCTGTTGAGCATTTTCAAACATTTTGCGGCGTTACTGTCAGGGTTTTTAGGGTCTGCAGTTGTTGTCACGACCGTGTACAAAAGCTGCAAGCATATAGTCCAAGGCCACTGTAGGCTCCTCAAAACGAAGTTGGAAGAACCACTAGACTTGGCTAGACACAAGAGATCAAGGGTCAAAGGCTACAAATAGGTTCTTTTTTGTCTTAAAAGAACAGTGTTTTGCTGCGGTTTTTTTCGGGTGGAAGCTGACGAAGCGAAAGTGTGAATAAGCGTTAGGAAGGTGGAATCGGAGGATATAATCAGCGAAACGAGTACGGAACTTGATTAAGGTCAAGAGCAATTTGAAAAACTTTTTGACGGTAAGAAATTACAGGTTAGAACTGGCATGTAATTTTTATTCCTATTTAAATCCGCAAATAATCTAATGACCTTTGACCAGTTTCTTTTTGGTCACGGCAAACCCCTAAAGGAATTTTTGACCTTGATTCAGCAATATTTTTTTTAGGAATTAATAAAGAGATCAAAGAAACTGGAACACTGGGTCCAAAAAACAATTTCAAACCACTCAGTAGTAATTCACGTAACTCTTCCCTCCAACGCTCTTCCTTTCAGGCGGTAAGATTTCGAAAGTACCATATCACTGAAAAAATGTCAGGTAACACTAATTGAAGCAAAACTGTAGCATCCTTTATTTTTTTAAGGCGAATTCCATAATTCCTTTGGCAGTACCGCAAACATTTCTAACTTCAAAAGCGCGCAAACTTTATAACAACGAATAGGAAAGAGAGGTTCATGACGACTTCTTTACTCCCGACAACAGTGACAAAAAAAAAAGGCATATGAGTAGAAAATAACAAAGTACCTCTGAGGAGTTGTGAACAAGCTTCATTTCAAATCGAAAAACTGTTATTGTTTTAACAATAGTCAAACACATCAGTATCACAATGCCTAGGGTTGTCAAAAAGGGCATAGTAAATTGGTTTCAGAGTGATTCTCAAAAATAAAAATGAAGAAAACCTTTGGATGGCTTGCTGTCAGAGAGGTGTAAAATGCATTATCTGATGAAGCCTTGCTTGATAGTCAAAAATTTTGAAGACCTGAACAGCGATGGCAACCACAGATCTTATTCTTGAAGGTAAGTCAAGACAAAAAGAAAGTTGATAACAAAGAAAAGACGGGAGAAGAATATAGTTTTCAAGACGTCAAATTATTGCTTAAGCATCCAAGCTTCAACAAAAAGTGCACTCCGCGTCTCTTTTTTTGACAACGAGCCATTTTTTCTTCTGAAACTTAAATTTTCCAAAACCCGGACCGCCTACCGTAACCAAGCTTTAGTTGACGCTTTCAATTTGTAATGAAGCTCTAGTTCGACCATGAACAGCAACAACTGATACATATTAATGAAAACAAATAAGACCATTTTATGTGAGTAACTGGATTCCAGAGCTCAAGCGTAGTGAGTTCAAAGATTCAACAAATTAAGAGATGGAAATTTTAGCAACAACAAATTGATGGCTTCGACGACGTACAAAATATACTTGACCGCGCTTTGGGTTAGCAGCTTCCTAAAACATTCAGTTCCGGTAGTGGTATTTCGAAAGATGCATGGACACTACTATGGCCATCCGCCAACTGTTCGAAAATGTGGTAGAACTTAAAATCACAACCTTCTCAGGCCTAGAATACTGGGAATATTTAATGAATCCTTCTAACTAACCAGCCGTTCAATTCCCAAATTTTCACCACATTTACAGAAACAGCGCTTCTCAGTGGCGTCAATTTCAATTGTTGCCACAGTTAACAGGGTGACATTTACGGTTCTGTGTAAATCAAGTTCGCAGCTGTAAAATCCCTTCTCTGTCTTCAAGACACCAAGTTCCGAAGCGTATAGAGAAGTGCTAACTCCTTCAGCTTCCCAATCGGTATCAAAATAATTCTAATGAAACAAAATTTATTAACCAGTGATTGACTGTAAAAAACAAGCTTTAATAAACAGAAATTGATTTCTATTAAAAATACCAACAAAGCATTAGAACGATGCATTAAGTTTACTCGGCTACAATTATTAAAGCAGTAATTACAAAAATGCTAAACAAACTTCAAGAGCATATTTAATGCCTGGAACGGTAACTCGGCAGGCCAGTGGATACTGCAAATGGAAGCTCATATTTGGTCTTAAAATTGAATGTAGCGCATAATTTGAAATCGAAGTACGTGAGAGACTAAAACTACTGACGTGAAAAAGCCGGTGATAAGCCGGTGATACAGTACCCAAAAAAATTTAAAAAACCCATAGAATTTGAATTTCATAAGCTCAACCGCATTGTTTCAGAAATTAACATGCACAAGCGCATATGACTGAGGAAAGCAATAAGCATCCAACTAACCATGCAACACAAGCATCATCTAGTCGAACGTCAAAGTCCAATTTTTGCCGACTAAACTCTTTGATCAGCAAATCCGATATAAAACCGATATTGATAATCCCGTTCTAAACACCGCCTCAATTTTTGCTGTCAGGATATATAAATGATTGATAAAATCAATTAAAATGTCATTATCAAATTGAATGAAAAACCAACTTCGATGCGAAATACTTGCACATCGCATATCTTTTGATTCTGGTTTTGCAGTCGCATGAACTCGCACAACTTGTCGTTGCTGATGTGAATCAATATACCATGTAACTCCAGTTTCCGGATATTCCAGCACTGCTTTGATATTAAGTCTAAAACCATATCATTGGCAGCCTCGTCTTCTAAGATCACACAAGCACCTGAACTGGCAAGCATAAGGAGACTTAAATACAGAATTTCAGGTAACAGTGATGAAAGTAGCACCTTCAAGTGAAATTATCGGCTTAAATAATATAATGCTCAAAAAATTGGCGAACAGCCGTACGATCACGGTACTGTCATTCACAACGAATAGTATAATGACACTCGTCTATTAAAAAAAATGCTGTTCAAGTTAAAGAACTTGCCATCTTGTTCCAAATAATCATCGACAAGTTCGGTTAGAGCAAAAAAACGTTCCAGTTCCCTCCACCCAAAAAATACTGTTATTAGCTTTTCGCATCCAGCTTTGCGACCGTAAAGAAAGAACTAAAATACCAAGGCAATAAGACGTGATGAACTGAAATACAGATGTAAAAATAGCGTCCCTGTGAAGAAATTTTCAATGCAACGTTAGTCACGAAGACCTACGTTATTGTTGTGACCCACGGTAAGCCTAAGACTTAAAACCTTTGATCGAGCAGCAAAAAACCTTTGATGCAAAAGGTTCCACTGTCTACATACTTGCCGCATTTTTAACCGCTCACGCAACGTGCACATGCCCCTGCAACATACAGTTTCTGTGAGGAACTGCATTGTAAATTATTCTAATGGAAACTTATCGGCTAGTACCGATTAAAGGAAGATGACATTAAGTCGTATGAAGCTTAGTGTTAGTTGCTCTCCGTTCTCTTTACATTCGTAAAAACTACCAACAAAAAGACTTACCAAATTTTCACTGTTAGCTCATTAGGTAAATTCCAAAAAAGCGATTGAGAATTTGTTCTTGGACTACTACAAGAAGCGTGTGAATGCTTGTATTCTATATAAAATTCATCTAACGTCATCGTTAGGAAACTTGAATCTGCAATAAAAAAAGCATTTGGAAGAAGATTACTACAAAGAAATGAACTAGAAATTCCAATATTAAATTTTAACAACAGGTCTTTTTGACTGTCAAGCTTGTAAAGTCTTTTGCTTAAGAACTTCTAACTACTTAGTAAACAGCTGATGTAGGTAAGTTAAAACGAAAGAATTTGTAGAAATGCCCTTTGAAACATATTACAGTTACATAGCTATACTGCAGACAGAGCTTACCAGTTAAGATTGAATAGCAGCACATTTAGTACAAAATGATGATACATTGTGTTGGACTTCACAATAATGGCAGCAGAACAATGAAGAAAAGAAAACTAAAGCTATGCAGAATCGAAAATAAGAATAAAACCAGACTAGCGATCTTATTTAATAACTTCACCAGTCTTTTAGAAACATTGTTGGCCACATAATGGATGTGGTAACAGATTTAAAGCAGTTCAATATATAAGTG